TACAAATTACTCTGTTTGCTTTTGAGGCTTGAACAAGTAAAATGCTATCCCCATGGCCACTTCTTTTCTGGATGCTATGTCTCATGATTTATACCCTGCTGAATATCAATGGACGCTAAAAATCTAGAACATATTAGAATATATTGTGCACATATCATGCATTCTTAAAGAGGGTTTGCACTTAGTCCTTTAATTCGTGCTACTTTTCTGATTGAGGATGAATACTCTATCGATGTTCCACTCTGTTTTTGAGTTTACATCATATTCTTTTCGTTCTCGGGGCCAGATATCAACAGCAGAAACAATCATCCTGAGGCCCTGCAAAGGATTATTGAGATGGAGCTTAAGGCTTCAAAGCAGAATCACACTTTTCCTGCTGGGCGTGGACAGGGGATGTACGGCCACGAGCTTGACATGGGATTGCGATATAGATAGTTGGCCATGTAAGGTTAACATTTTTCATGTGGTACTCATTTACCATCACCTATGTGCAAGTATTTGGTAAACATATCAGGGGAAATGACATAAGTGTTAGATTCTACTTTCTGGGTACTTTGGGAGGGGGGGTTAGTGTCATCTACATACGCCATTGAGGAGTGGCTGGAAAGGGCCTCTGTATCGACAACTCTTACTATATTGTGCAAACATGGTTGTGCAAATTGTCAGTTCATATTGATCTTCCCTGTGTTCCTAATTTGGTTGTTGCCTGCTCTCTTCCCTTTTCTTGGACTTCTTTTTTATTGGCTTAACCAGTTTCAAAGTAGTTGGACTTCGTTCTTGAAGAATTTCATTCTATCGAAGAGTCGTTTACGATTTCAATTCTTGTACATTTTGTTTTCCCAATACATCTTAAAAGTACTACTAATAGTTTGATTTGATTTCTAAACAATGCTATTGAAGTAAAAAAATGTTCTAGTTAAGAATAAGTAAAATATTTATTTCAACTGAATAATTGACGAATTATCTCCCCTATGATTGATCAACGAACGTCCCCGTTTTAAGTTTTATTAGTTAAAACATAGTATTATCAAGTAAGAAAGAAAAATTTGGCAGATTGCCACATTCTCTACGTCCTTACCCGGTTACCCCTCTTCTTTAGTAAGATATTTCTTCATTAAATTATTTTCTTTAACGAATAACTGTAAGGTTTCCCCAAAGGCAATTAATTATCCAAGAGTCTAATATCTAGTGCAATAATGAATAATCACAATTCAACGAGGTGAATTAATATTCAGTAATATGGCCGTTTTCGATATAAAGCGCTCCCACCAAGATTTGTTACTCCATAATAACATTTTGCTTTCATCAAAGGTGGAAATTACCATTATTATTGCTTTTCTTCTAGTAATACTTGAATGTGAATTTAATATAAATATACTTCCTTGCCTAAATGGAAATTACAATGTTACTATTTGAGGAGTTAGTTTTTTTTTTTTAATTGTGACTTTTTCAAACATTATTTAAATACAAAAAAATTGCAATTTATTTTTTTGGATAGTTTCTATATTTAAATCTTTTACTTTTGCGAATATCAAAATTTAAACCTATATACAGTTATACACACAGTAGCCCGGTCTTGTGGCCTCGTGAATTACGTCTCCCATTCCCATCTGTCGCATCAACAAAAAGGGCGCGTCTGTCTGTTACTTTGGCGGCAAAGCGCAGTACTCAGTATTGAAGAGAAAGGGACATTCTCTCTCATTGGTAATCCCCTCTCTCTCTCTCGATTTTACTTCCCAATCCTCCTTTCGTCAAGAAAATAATTTAATTACTGATCATCTCACATGGTAAGTTACTCATTAATTTGTGTATCCGTTGGCTTGTAGTACTAGTTTTCATTAACTACTAATCTGTATTTTCAAAAAGAATAAAGCAGAATCATGTTTGAATTCGAACTACCTATTGACTTAGCGCAGTACTACATTCAGAAAAACTAGGGTTTGAATTTCTTCTACTTACATCGTTAAAGAAGTCAGGAAAAACCCTAGATTTAAACCCCTTTCGAAATTGCAGGTTAAGTTGTACTACTAGTACGATTACCAAGCAAACATGGTGCGTACAAAAGTAGAGATAAAGAGAATAGAGGATAAAGCTAAAAGGCATACCACTTTCACGAAACGTCGACAAGGTCTTTTTAAGAAAGCCAAGGAGTTGGTCAAAAGATGCGACGCTCAAGCCGCTGTTATCACGTTTTCTTTGGCCGGCAACGTCTTTGCCTTCGGCCATCCTTCTGTTGACGACATCGTAAACCGTTATATTGTCGCCACGTCAGCTCCTGAAGGCGATGAAATTCCGGTTCATAAAGAGACTGAAAAGAAGGATAAAGATGTAGTGATTGAGAATAATGTGGATCAGGAAGATGAAGAGACGACGTCGTTTGAGTTGCCAGTTGGAGATATGGGTATGGAGGAATTGGAGGAGTTTGAGGTTGCAATGGTGGAGATGAAGAAGAAGGTTGTTGATAGAATAAATGGGATAATTTCAAGCTCAAAGGAGGAGGATCTTGGATTGCCATATATACAGGTTTAACGTTGAACTGAATATACGTACGTAGCTCTATACAGATCAAGAATTTAGAGACATTAGTTAGTGGATTCTTTAGCTTCAGTATTATATAGATGTGATTTGCATGCAAGCTAGGATTTGATTTTAATTTTTCTCTTTAAAGGGGTCAAGGTAGATTTTGATTAGTTCCCCTATTAATACATGTTCTTAATAGTGAAAGATGCAATTACAAAGTAAAGTTCCTGAGTCATTGTGGTATCATTTGGTTTGTGCTTAGTATTAGACTTCTTACTGTTATTGCTGGTGTACTGATGCAAAAGGAAAACAAAAGAAACAGAGGAAAGTGATAAAGGAAAAGTCGATCTAATGCATTCAGGTGAATCGTGAAGCGATCAAATGTTTTCGATGTATCCTCTTACGAAAATGCGATCTTTAACACTATTCAGCGAAATGTTTTCAACACGAAATTCGTCGGCTGATTCTCCAGTTTTATCCGATATATTGTTAAAAAATATACTGGTTAGTTCCTTCATTTTTTGGCTGAACTTTAAGTTTTGGACCCAGATTTATGTGTAGAGGCATCCACTTGGTCACATTAGCTTCAAACAAATGACCTAAACTGATTGTTTTCCTTTTTCGTGCCTCAGATAGACTACCGGATTGGCAAGTCCGCGTATAACGAGATCTCAATCTTTAAGCTGACAAACATTAACCCTCTTCTTCTTTTTTCTTTTACTCAATGTTTTTCGTATTAATGTATCGGCTTAAGCTGTTTTATTGACGTCTGAAGACAGTTTTCTTTGAAGATACAAGACTCCAACCTTTTATCTGCCTATTGACTGACATTCGTCAAGCAGTAACATTACGTTACATACGAGTATGTTCTATAATAAACACTACATCATAGTAGTAGATACTCTCAGATCAATCCTTCTAGCTCATGCCATTCCTCGTTAAAATACAATGATTTATCAAGTTTACTGCTTAAAAAATTACTTATTCCCAATTATGACAATATGATATTCTCATTCTTACAAGCTAAAGGGAATAAATAGTCGTAAAACTAAAATGCATTGATATCTTACAATACTCACTGGAGTTTGTTTTTCTCTGTAACTGAAGCATTCTCCGCCTTTAACACTATTTATGCTCCTTGCTTTCTTTCCACCTTACACAGTTTTTATCATTTAGGTGATAAGGTCACTGATCCATTACTCAAAACCACAAAGTTTCGATTTCCGTTCTTCTCAACATGCCAAACACACTGCTACATACGTGTCTAACCTATTACACATTTTTAGGACAAAACCCATGAGGTCACACCCCTCAACAATATACAACACAAGCCCTACGCCATCTACCTATAATACAGCACAAACATATACTACTCTCCACAAGTACATATCCAAGCCCTCAAAGCGTACCTCTACTCACGCATTGTCTTCCCTAAAAGTATATACAGAATGGAGCTGGAAACATTGGGAGCAACTTGCAAGTTTGAAGCATATAAACAGACTAGATACACAAGCCGCATGTGTTTGCATCACGCTGCCCTCTCTTCCTAACGCTGTCTCCACCAGATATGCAATGACCACGCATCTTCTAAAACTTCCTCCAGATTCCTAGACAGCTCGGATTGCATTCTCTCTAAAATCAGTTTTTATAGGATGGTCCATTTTATCTTTTTCAGCGCCCAAGCCATACGATGAGAGAAACCTCCTCTGCACAAAGCATAAGAAAGCGAATTAAGATAAACAATGGATAATTGAATAACTCACCTAGCTTTCATGCTATGCAACATTTTATCCTAGTTAAAATTACAGTATGGTGATATAGCTGGGCCAACGGATGAACTAGGGACCAAACAGATCTCATTGTTGCTTCATCTCAGAGTACTGGAAAGCTAGCTCCTCAAAAATAGACCAATGGACGAAGGTCGTTAAAATTCAGCACAGCAGCGAAACTCCATTTCTTAGTTCGTTTTGAATTCTCTCTCTCAATATCCATTTGTTCTTGTTACTTTCTTCACGAAAAGAGAAATAAAAAAAGATTGCATATGCGCTGAGCCCGAGCCATGTCAAACTCAAACCTCCATTAATAGAACCTCAAAAAACAACGCCCGCTCAGCTCAGCTTGGCTTTTATTTNAGAGAGAGAGAGAGAGAGAGAGAGAGAGAAGAACTACCAAGAAATTCCTGTTATCTAATTTGCAGTCTGAGTTCCAAAAAAGGATAAAACAGGATAAGACTCTGCTATCTTAAAAAGACAAATAGATAGGAAAAAAGAATTTTGTGATGATCATGTCTGTCGATCGCAGTGTAACTGTCTAAATGTCAAATGTACCTAAAGATGCTGTAAAGGGGATGATTCTGACACCTCTGATACTAGCCCCACCTCTACTAAGAGAGGCGGTCAGGTACTCAAGAAAGGGAGTGTGCTAAGTTGTATACACAAGCACAAAACACTGAATTTCAGTATCCTAAAAAGCATGTATTGTTGCCTTTCAAAAATTTGACTTTTTATTGTTCTACGACATGCATTTCAAAGTGTACAATAGATCAGGAAAGTTCCTTTTTCCCTTCAGTTTTGTGCAATATTGAACAAAAGAATATTGATAGGTTTCAGAGGCTCCCACTAATATGGAGTGTATAGGGGCTGATGATCTAATACTAATTGGAAATAATAGAGATTCATTGTTGGCCAATTGTAATATCTAATGCACACATCTAACTCAGTCATTTCCTGGTATAAAAAAAATTCTCCATCTTCAAAACTTTGAAAAGTATTTCATCTTTGCTTTGCCCAACGACAGACATTTCAACTGTGACCTATAAAATTAACCATTCAAGTTCTTCCACCATGGTAGACAAAGTAAGTCATTCCATTTGGGATCAGAAGAGCATTATCTAAGACCCCTGTCTGCAAATTGGATTTACGCATCATCCACAACAAAAACAACTACACCTCAATCCAAGCTAGGATATACACCTTGTGTACAGAGTTACAGTATGCACCATAAATGTCTCTGCTCCCTCTCATTGTTCACAACTTTACATATGTGAGATGCAAACTGAAGCTATCTAACATTATACGTGTGTCTGCTAATTTAATTCCCACATACCGTCTGAACATCTATGGGGTCCATCTTTTTTAGCCTCTGTATGTGGTCCCTCGTACTTGGATCAAAGACACTGCCAATGAACCTGTAAACTTGTGCAAAGTTTGGCATAACTGCAATTGAAAAAGGAAAGGAGAACAAATCAAATATATTGAATTGATAAAGTATTCTGCACAAAAAAATAACTGCAAAGAAAGAAGTAGCAGTAATCTCTGTAATCTCTGTCTTGGTACTGCAACATATCCTTTTATTGGCACGAACTAAATGAAGATAAAATAAAGGTTATAGGGAGACAGAAGTAGCCTTTTCCCCCATCTGATTACAAGTCATACAGGGAAAAGAAAAGCATCAAATACTCTCAAATTTGCTCCCCTTTGCTCTAACGGACTGAATGGGCCCAACTACTCTTAGAGTTTGTAAATGTACCTACAGCTGTAAACAAGCACATTGATCATGTGTGGTAAGATCCACATGATATGAGACAAACATTTTCTCAATCTCATCCTAACAACCCTCTTTTCCCAGGAGTATCTCCCTGGATCCCCCAAGAATTCCCAGTACTTTTCACTTTCTTCTCTCTTTTCCTGCTTGTGCCTGATTTTTAACCCATGAACCTTAGCATAAATACCACGTTACGTAAAAGAAAGGTTAATGACAACACTACAAAAGATTCTTGTTGGATGTTGATACAACATAATATGTCTGATTACTCCAATAAGTTCACTGAAGATTCTCATTGGGCTGTCTCTAAACAACCACTAAAATCAGTACGGATTGCGACCAAAGGGTTTCATGATGTCACCAGCTTTAATTTTGCTATGTGATCAAGTAGATTCAAGCTAAGATCATAAGAACTAAATCAAGTGGAGTCCTAGAGTTATCCACAAGGCAGAGCATGAGAGAGGTAGGACATGAAAAACTTCCCAAGTAGGGGGAGCCCTGAGTTGAGGAAGAGAGAGGCATAGCAACTTTTTGTTTCTTTTAACAATGAAAAGGTGGCATTTCAAATTTGAACACAGGGAGAGATGAGAAAAGTAACATAAAAAGATAGCACAATTATGATACCTTTAATACAGCATATAATTAAACAGACTCCATATAGAAGTCACCTTTGTCTCTCTGTTAACTATGAAAAGCTGGTATCTTGCATTTGAAAGAGTAGGGAAAGAAAAGAAAAGGAACTAGAAAGATATTAAGATACCATGATTATGATACCTCTGGTACTGCATATAATGAAACAGACCCCATATAGAAGCTAATACAGAAAAAATGGAGATCAATATCTGTGCTTAACAGATGACAAAACGCATAGCTTACACACTGATGATATCTTGAATTTTTTGGTACAAACAGCAAATCATCAGCTTGCTTGTCTTGGTATCTTTTTTTTGTCAATTGCATTTGTCAAGCAGAATAGTCGACTGTGTGTTTGACATTCAAGGATCAATCTTTGGACAACTTCTAAGCGACATTTAGAATACAATAATCAATCCTCGTGTGACATTTCCAACACAGCATATTTGCTTCAATAACTACTGACTGCACTAACGTTCCAATGTTATCACAAATTGGAGTATTATTTTTTGTTTAACTCATTATTTCAGGTTGCATTTTCAGTTCCCTCCATGTCCAGAAGTTGAAAGTAGCGAAGATGAGGATGCTGAGATGGATGTGTGGAGAATAGTCGACTGTGTTTGACATTCAAGGATCAATCTTTGGACAACTTCTAAGAGACATTTAGAATACAATAATCAATCCCCGTGTGACATTTCCAACACAGTATATTTGCTTCAATAACTACTGACTGCACTAACGTTCCAATGGTATCACAAATTGGAGTATTATTTTTTGTTTAACTCATTATTTCAGGTTGCATTTTCAGTTCCCTCCATGTCCAGAAGTTGAAAGTAGCGAAGATGAGGATGCTGAGATGGATGTGTGGGCATACTAGAAGAGATAAGATTAGGAATGAAAATATTTGGGAAAAAGTGGGAGTGGCCTCCGTATTGGACAAGATGCGGAAAGCGAGGCTGAGATGGTTCGGACACGCGAAGAGGATGTGCCCAGATGCCCCGGTGAGGAGGTGTGAGAGGTTGTCCATGGGGGCCTAATGAGAGGTAGAGGCAAGCCAAAGAAGTACTGGGGAGAGGTGATTAGACAGGACATGGCACATCTGCAGCTTACCGAAGACGCCCTTGATAGGAGGGTGTGGAGGTTGAAAATTAGTGTAGAAGGTTAGCAGGACATTAAGCAAATTCTCTTTTCATACCTTTAGTATCATCATTACTCTCGTAGATTCTTATACGTAGATCTCTATTACTACCGGTTGTCTTTTTGGTTTGGTTGTCTTATTATCATGTTATTGTGACTGCTTCTTTTTTAGATGGCTTCTCCATTGATGTATTTCTTTTCATTTATATTGTTACTATGCTATTTTTGAGTCGAGGTTCTCTCGGAATAACCTCTCTACCTTCACAAAGTAGGGGTAAGGTCTCCGTACACACTACCCTCCCCAAACCACACTTGTGCGATTATACTGGATTTGTTGTTGTTGTTGTACTGTTTCCCAAATAACAGTTTTTTTCTCCAATGCAGCGCCTGACTTCCACCCAAAGATAAGTCTTTTTCCACCAGTATATAGCTCTAAATAATGACTGAAACACGCATCAAACTCCAAAAGACAACTACTTCGACTGCGAAATTTCTACAAGCATTCCACAATCCATCCAAAGCCCACCAATGGTTAACACTCAGTTTAGGTCTAACTGTCGCATACTACTTAGGTTAGAGGGGGGGAAGTCATTATCAAGCCCAACAGGGCAGAAGAGATTGCTTTTGGTATATCATACAGTTCTTATGAGTGTATCACATCGGGTTAGTGGGCGCTAACATGAACTGACACTTTCTTTAACAAGCCTATGCATGTTCCTTAGAGATATATGAAACTTGTTCCAATTATTATAACCAAAAGCATGATGGAAAAAGATCTGACCTAAGTAGTACGTTATTTTAAAATGAATAATTCATCAGCTTACACTGGGCCAGATCACCGGCACATCCTGAGAATGGGGAATCTTTCATAAAATTACACCTTTTAACCCAAAGAGAATACACACCTTTCATTTGCTTCTTGCTCTCCTTTTGGGCATTGCTCTCTTTAGTCGTACAAATCCTAGGCATGCTCTCGTTACTGCTGCTGCTGCAATTTTGCACGACTCCTCCACTGGATAATTGTGCGTCATCTGAGAATAACAAAATTCAACCTGTAGTTTTTCTTGAACAAGTCTGTTCAAATTACATATATCTCCTTAATCAGCAGACAAATACCTTTTCTCATGTGTGTTGTGCTGATAGCAGGCACATTGTCGTAAGTCCAGGGAGAGAAATTAATTGTATTTCCAGGCACTGCTAGAGAATCAGGCCCGATACCAAATCCTGGTTCAGGCAAAGCTCCTGGAGGTTGAAATTGGATGCTGCCAACTTGGGACACAACTGTTGCAGGCAGATACAACAATGCAAGCAAAAATTAGTTTCAGCCCAGTATCTTGTAACAAACAAAACAGATGACGGATATTGTCCCTACCCTTTTTTGGAGCTTTTTGTGGATAAGGATGAGCTGCTTTTCTCTTTGGGCGTGGGGGAGGTACATGTTCACTTGTCCCACTCTTCTGGACCTTCAGAAAGTATTTCTGTGCATGGCTACGGATCTGCATAGCTTGCTTTTTAGCATATATTGACATATATCAAAATGTAAAGCATATTTCGTGAAGTGTGCCCAAATATGTGAAGCAACTGGCACAATGTTTGCCCCCAGACATTAAGCCGATGCTAGCTTGTCCTGACATACAACAGCTGTTTCTCTTCCAATAATTCTTGTAGACTCTAGCTAAAAGACAACACATTCGGGAAACTATGTGAAGATTGCTCCTCATCAACTACAATGATGTGTATACTATTAAGGGCTCTTGTAAACGTGTGAGAAGTTATTGTAATGGCAAGCTTTTAACTAAGCACACTGTTTAAGCAGATTGCCCTGGGCCAGCATAAGATAAACAAAAAATAAGGAACAAAGACTCCGATGATTCTCTTAACTAGAA